TGTCATGGATTAATAGTGAAAGGAAACACAATGCAGGAATAAACACTGAGTTTTCTGAGCAGTGGAGCTGCACAGGGATGTGTGGTATTCAACAAGCTCTTGAACAACCTGGTGAAGAGGAGGGAGCTGTGAGGTGGCAGACTTTGCAAGCAGTGCAGAGTTACTTAGGGCAGCCAAATCCAAGAAGAGACTAGGAAGATTTGCCAGAAAATGTCAGGATGTCAGATGAGTAAGTAAGAAAGGCAGAGAAAGCATTCAATGCAAAGCATCTCTTAAATGCAATGTCTAGTGGAGAAAAGAATAGATGTCTTGGAAAGAGAGTGAATTGCTGAAAAAGTGAGAAAATTTCACCATTTAGTGTCTTCAGCAAGGGGAGATAAAATGAAACCTGGCATAATGTAAATCCACAGAAAGGTTTAATCTCAGATATTGGCTGTTTTGTTAACCCTTCCATCACAAACAGGACAGGTTAGGTCTGAGAAAACGACAAAGTGTGATGGAGCTGTTCTAAGGCAGAGAATCAAAGAATCATAGGAGGGTTTGGGTTGGAAAGGACCTTAAAAATCTTCCAATTCCAACCTCCCTGCCATGGGCAGGGACACTTTTCATTAGAGCACATTCCTCAATCTTTCATCCAGCCCTGAACACTTCCAGGATGAGGCCTCCAAAGCCCCTCTTGTCTAGGAGGGAAGGATGAGAAGGCTTCATTAGACTGGGATATCTTTTCCCTACTTGTGAAGAAGAATAAATGGTAAAAATGTATTAAAATGATTGATTCTATGGAAGTGAATGGTGAAATGATTATTCACAATTTCTCATGACAAAAAGAAATTTGCTGTAACCACTAAAAGTATCAGCTTTAAGGCTAACCAAAGCCTGTTCTTTTCTCAGAGCATGTACTTAAATAGTAAAGCTCACGGTCACAGGCTTTGGGGGATATAAAATTATAAAGAGGCTGAAAAAACCTAGAAACAAATATCATAAAGGGTAGATCCATAGGTGCAGAAGCAACTTTTGGCTCAGGAAATCCCTGGATCTCTTTTTTTTTTTTTTTTTTGGGCACTGGGAAGTTCTACCAGGGACTGCTGTCAAACAGTGAGTGAGAGGAGAGAGGAAGACACGCCTGGGGGCTGTGGAGAGGTTTGTGTGCAGGTGGGAGGAAATAAGAATTGCTGAGCATCAGGAGTCTGGTATTACTTGACAGAAACATCCTGTAAGCATTTAAAAATTCTTGTTAACACAAGCGAACAAGCCAGTCCCTCGCTGCAGGCTGTGACAAGCTCCAACCTACTTTGGTTTTCAAAAAGCTCAGCTGCAGGGCTGTTGGGTTTTGAGACAAACTTGAGCTGCTTATTTATTTATTTATTGTTGTGTATTTAGCAGCTGATAGCAGAGCTGTGGCTGGAGCAGTGGGACAGTGGTGGGGAAGGGGAGGCAGAAGGCAAGGTGGGGTGAGCAGGAGACTGAAGAAAAAGTGAAGAGAAAAAGGAATTTCAAAGAGATTGAAGGAAGGGAAAAAGATGTAGAAATTCAAACAGAAAGAGCAGAGAGGGAAGGGAGAAAGGCAGATATTAGTTACAAAAACTGAAGGATGAAAAGCAGTGTTTGTGGAAGGGCAATATGGGTAGAGAGGGGGAGATTATGTTGAAATACGATAATGAGGCTGAAAAAAAAAGAGGAATCATTATGGCAAAAGGATAAGCCCATCCTGTCCTTCCCTGTGCTGCATCCAAATAGGTCACTTACAAAAGAGGAAAGACAGAGCCAGCAGAGGACAGGAGGCAAGGAAGAGAAGGTAGCCACATCTCAATGCCCTTGTTGTTGAAAACTGCAGCATGGAAGAGTGGTCCTTTGGGGTTTATTCAAGTGTGGAAGAAAAAACATTGTTGACAAAGGGCAAGGGTGGTTCTTTGGCACATGAGGTTCCCTCAGTGCAGGCATCATCCTGCACAAGATGCATTTTCATTTCATCACAACCTGCAGTGGTGTGACAGCGAATTTGTGTGGCAGAGGAGGGAAAACACCAGCTGATAAAGGAGTTGGTTTGTGCTCTGCGTTCTGCTGGGAGGCACTGAGCACCTGGCACACCATAAACACTTAATTTAAGCAAATTTTCACCCCAGGTGACTGCTCTGTAAACATTTAGTGATGTGCCTCAGAGAAGGTGTCCTCACTCAGCTCTGTTTTTCAAAAGCTCAGGGGTGATCAGGGAGCCAGCCCAACATTCCCCTGCTGCAGGGATGGTCTTTGCCTGGGTGGGATGTCTCCCTGCTGGTGTGGGGGGAAGCAGATGCTAAAGCAGCTGTTCAGAGCTGAACACATAATTCTGTAAAGTGCAATGAAAATCTAGCCCGAGGCCTTAATTTGTTTAAAAGCAACCATCTGCAAGGTATTTTTGAAGCAGGATGCAAATGAAAGCAGCACTAACATTTTTCTCCCCGGTGCATGAGACAAGGTCCAGCAAAAGGAGTCCCACCACTGGCTTCAGGCATTGGTAGCTGGGTTTAGATCCCATTTGTGCCATGAATGTCCTCTGTGACCTCACACAGGTGACTTTGTCAGTGTTTGTGCACGGGTTGGACAATGGAACATGCTGTTGGTTCAGGACTCCACGTGCAGAACAAACAATAAAAGCAAGAAGATAAAGAGGCAAAGGAGAAATCACCAAAACCATTCAGGCCACAGGTGGAGAAAACTCCTTTATTGGCTGTGCTGGGGCTGGGAGCTGAGTGGAGGAGAGGTTATGACCCACTCAGTCCTTCTGCCTCCCAAAGGATTCCCCAGGGCTCAGGGACCTGTTCCCCATGGGGCAGCAATCAGGGAAAGACCATTTATTGCTCCAGCAGACATGGTTGGTGAAAGAAGATGTAGGTCCTACCTTACCTATGGACTGATAAAAATTATTATAGATAAATGATTAACTCATACATACCTGCCTATACTGCCCTGAATATCTGAAGAAAGCAAAATCAACATAGCCAATTATTTTTAGAGCCAATGATCACTGATTATTCCTGTTTAGGGATAAATTTCAAAGATTAATTAACAGTAAGCATTGTCCTGAAAGTTGAATCATTTATTCAGAGCCCTGGCAAACCACAGCTCCTTGAAAAAGTAGAGTGTTTGCACAGGCATAGAAATAAATTCCAAGTGCACAGAGAACAGTTTGCATTAAGAGGGTCAGAGTGGGTAAGTTTTAATTTGAACAGAAATGTGATTTACTTAATCTTATCTGGCTTTATTAATTATCACAGTAGGTAAAGTTTGCTTTTCATTTAATGTTTTGTTGCTCACACACAGATATGCAGACTGAGGTGTGTGGAAAATTTTTGTGAATCCAGGAAGGTGGAAAATTTTTGTGAACGTTTTTGTAGACTTGACAGAACTCAGAGTCAGCCATACAGACAGCCAGGGAGAGCAAGGTTTGCACAATCCTGCAAAACAAAGAAGTCTGTAAATGCTTGCAGCAGGTGGGAGGAAAGAGAGGAGCTATTTATATTAAAGAACAATTCCTGGCACCAACCTGGTTGGATGTGGAGTGGTTAAATGTGGGCTGGGAACTGCAAAAGGTTCTGGGCAATGGAGCAATGAGGTTCCAGACCCTAGTCCTGGGTGCAGCTCACTGAGGCACTGGTTGCAATGTCCTCACTGAGACTGGGCTCTGGTTCCATTTATACAAACACCAAACACTCTGTGTGTGAAAAATACAGCATGTCCTTCTCACATCAGCTGCTGACTAAAAGAAAAATGGGATTTTGTCAATAATTTATAGCTAATCCATTAATGAATAAACTACCTAAAATAAACTTGGTGTGAACAAAACCCTTAAAAATTACTTCATTGTCCTGAATACTCTTAGCAAGGGAGTGATGACCATTTCAGGCTTCCTTTCTCCTGGAACATAATTGAGCACTTATTCTCAGGCCAAATTTGCTGGCATGAGGTTTTAATTAGACTGCCATGGACTGCAGTGTCTAATTGCTGTCATCGTGCAGAGCTCAGCTGGGAGCATTGGGGCTCCACAGCAGTCCTGGTGCTCCCTCAGCAGGAATGTTCCCTGGGGAGGCAGATCCCCCTGGCAGGACTGTTGGGTCTGCAGGGAGGGAAATGTCCATGCTTGGACTCAAAATATTCCTGTGCAATCGGTGGAGTTGGCAATGGGAGGCCTTGGGTCTGTGAGGAGGAAAGGAAAACAAAATGACTTTGTGAGGCGCGTTCAGCTCTGAAAAATATTGGCCAAAATTCACACTGCCTTTCAAGGAGTTAAAGCTAATGAGTTACAGCACCTCTGGTTAGCAGAAATCCTGAGGAAGGCTTTAGAAGAAATACATCACAATGTGTATGAAAAAAGCTCAAACCTGAGGCATCACAGCCACCAGCAAAAAGCTGTTTTATTGTGCTGCACTTAAGGGAATCCTCTGAGGAATTGCTCAAGTTATCCCTGGGAGGAGTACATGCTCTCATTTACCATCCTTTGCCTCCTGCCCTCCTCACCCTAATTTTAGTGTGTGGGTTTTAGAGTCACATGCAGAGGGCCAACAGCAGAGGTTTTAACTGCCCCTGTTTCTTCCTTCTCCATCTCTTATTCCTTATCCTGCAGCCAGGAAAGCAGGATCTCACCACCAGGCACTATCCATTTGTCAAGGAGGGGCTTGGTGCAGTGATGGCATCTCATCACCTACCTGTAAACCTCTTCTTATATGACCTGAGCATATTTAAAACTTAGAGAGAAACACTGTTATTTCCCTGTGTTGTCCTCCAGCTGGATATGTGTCAAGATGACCAAAAAGTGCAATTTCCTGCTTTTTATTAGAAAGGTACTGAAAGTTGTGACTTGTGCTTTACCATATTGGGTAATGGGCCCATGTAGTTGAAATATCTGCATGTTTCCGTCATGCATATGGTATATCTGTATTAATAATTGTTTTCCACTTCATATCTCAAGGCATAGCTATTTCTGGGTAGCGAGATAAGATTTAAAAACTACCAGCAGGAAAGCAATGCAGCGAAACGTTCTGAAGGAACAAAAACATCTTTTCCCTCCCACAGTTAATGGATCTTTACTCATCAAAAATAGCACCTTAACAGTAAAAGACAACCAAACAATTGAGATTGTTTGCGAAGCCTTAGGATGGGCTCCAGCTCCAGACATTGCCTGGATGACAAATGACTCTTTGGTTGATAAGTCAAGCTATGTTACCCAGCAAAGTCCAGGATCTCATGGCCTCCACAATGCCCTGAGCACCTTAACTCTGACTCCGAGGGACACTGAGGTTTTGACTTGTTTAGCTGACATAGAAGCACTCCCCAGCCCTCAGAATGCAACTGTAACTCTTATTTTTGACAACTCTGCCTCGGGTAAGTGATTGTTTGTTGTGCTTTTCCCATCCTGTACCGCCTGTGCTCAGGGCTGTGCGTTTTGTTCTGGTTGGTTTTGCTTTGAAAAGTTGTTTATTTGCCAATGAAATCCTCTGGGGTGTGGAATTCAGAGCCAGGAGTCACAGCATGATGTACAGGTAGGGTTAAATGTACTTCTAGCAGTCTAATGAACCATGAAGCCCAAGGTAGGACTGAGCAGGACAAAGCCTCTGACAAATATCTGCCTCTGACTCCTGTGGATTTGCTGCTAGGAAAACCAGTCTTTGCTCCTTGACCAAGAAAACACCCAAGGAATTTAGATCTTAAATATCCTTGATCAGAGCATGCCTGCCATATTAACTTAATTTCTTACAAAGACAAACCCTCATGTGAAATTTTTCTCTGTAATATCCAATACCAGTTTTACCCCTGATTTGGGAAAAAAAAAAACCCCTTCCAGTTTCTGCACACAACCTAGAATAAATTCTGTCCTAACATATATTTTTTTGGGCAGTGCATTAGGTTGCCTTTTACTGGCTTTTACTTAAAGGAATTCAAAGTTGTTTTAATCCAAGCTGGGATGTCATGCAAATCTCTCCAGAGCAGTTAGCAAGGCCTTTGATAACTCTAAATATTTTTGCTAAGGTTGTAATCATGCTGACAGCTTCTCTTGATGAACTGATTCTTCTTCTGCAATGGGTGAACAAGGCACACACAAAACATCCTTACAGGGTATCAATGAGGGGTTTGGTACAGACATTTTGACACATAAACAGCTGAGAAGATTGAGTAGCTGTGCCCTTTGTTTTCAGTATGAATCATTATTAGCAGGCCTTTTTCAGAAGTGCTTACTTGGTAATGCAGTTGGAAAAGGTCATTTGCCATCCCTAATATGGCCTTTTGTAGTCACATTGATCTTAATTACTGACTAAGCAAAATAGCACTATCCTGAGGAAATTAATAAATTCCCCTGCCCACTCATTTGTGATGTTTCCATAGCTACTCCCTATAAATCAGAAGAGGAGAAAAACAGATGTCATGAAGCACTATTAGTGTATAATTAGTGATTGTATAGGACCATCATTCATTTCTCTTTGGAAATACCATTGTGCAGCAGCAGCAGGCACTCAAAATTTGACAGGATAGGAGAATCTGAAGTCTTTAAATGATTAGGATGAAATAAAAGCATGGCATTTATGACACAGGAAGGTATATAATGTATATATCACACTCAAAACCTAAGAGCTTGTCCCTGTTTTCATACACAGGCTCAGCCTTAGCTGGCTGTTGAGAAAGAGCACAACCAGCTTTAGGCACGTAAGAAATCTTTCCCAAAACTACTGAAATATCAATTTTCCCCTTCCCTTAAAAGCTGGAGCAATCAAACTCCTCCTTGTTCTCTTAAGCAATACAAGAACTACTGAAAATCTGAGCCCTCTCCAGCCACCAGCCCCTGGTGAGGGAATGTCCCACCTTCCTGCACCTCTGGGTCAGTCTTTCCATACAAAGTGATGCATTTTCATGTCATTCACTCTTCCTACATGGGTGTTTGGCTGAGCCTGAAATTTAGGCACTCCTACAGAGTTATCCCAGGAGATGCATTCACAGAGCTGTTACTTGGAATGGGATCCATGGTGGAGCTCCTTAGCTGGGTCCAAGCAGAAATTTGACCTGCAGAAATTGAGGAAAAAGAGTCTCCCATGAGCCTGGATGTCCTTTACTTTAGAACTCAACCAGAAAGCTCCAATATTGTATTTGCAAAGACCCCAGACAAAGGAAGGAATGATGAATCTGACTCCATGTTCTCAGAAGGCTGATTTATTATTTTAAGATACTATATTATATTAAAGAATACTAAACTATATTATACTAAAGAATTCAGAAAGGATACTTACAGAAGGCTAAAAAGATAATAATGAAACTTGTGACTCTTTCCAGAGTCCTGACACAGCTTGGCACTGGTTGGCCAATGAGTCAAAATAATTCACAGCAGAACCCAATGAAACAATCACCTGTTGGATAAACAATCTCCAACCACATTCCAAAGGAGAAAAACACAGGAGAAACAATGAGATGACACAATTTTCCTTTTTTCTCTGAGGCTTCTCAGCTTCCCAGGAGAAAAATCTTGGGCAAAGGGATTTTTCAGAAAATGTGACTGTGACACTCCAAAGTGTCCAAGGAGCCACATGCAGGTTTTTCCAGTCTCTCATTCCTCACTGGTCACCAGCACCTGCCTGGGAAAATCCTCTTTTCTGCAGACACTTTGTCAAAGTCAATGTTTGGACAACTTAGGGAGGAGCCAGAGGTCAGGATGGCAGCAGAGGATGGCCCTGTGGAATGAGGAAGTGGCTCTGTCCACATTAAACACTTCATGGAACTTGGTTTGGATTTCCTAAGAGACTCAAAGGGATTTAACTCCTTCAGCCCTTCGTGCTCCTCCCTTGCAGCCCTGCTTGTGTGTTCACCTAACAGCTCCTCATTCACACCCAGCTCCAGTTTCTTCCTGCTTCCTCCTAAACTGCAGAGACACAAAAACACTGAAGCTCTGGGAGTGTTTGTGTTGTACCCTGTCCTTCTGCCTTCAGCTCCATAAATATTTTGGCACATAACCTGACCCTGGCAGGGAGTGAAACCCCTTGGTGTGGCAGCCAGCAGGAATGGGCTGGTGCAGGTGTGTTTAGCTCCTCCCTTCTCACTAGGGTTAAGCTTTTCCCTCTAGCTAAATAGATGTCATTCATATTTTAGTCATCTTGAAATCCCCGTGGCATCTCTGTGGAACAAAATGTACTAAAATGTAGATACCTGTTGCAGTACCTCTAGATAAAAATACTATGAACAAGTTTATCATCAACTGATGGCAGCCTACAGGATTTACTGCTAATTTTCAGGTCACTGAGTGCTTGGGTTTTTTTTCCTAATAGAAGAAATTCCAAACATGCTGGTTGAGCATTAGGATTAGAGAAGACTGGAACAAATTGCTTAATGGTAGTGACCTGAGCTTTGGAAAATGCAGGTTCCTGGCAGAGGTTCAAGCTTTGTAGGAGGTCTTGGTAGTGTCTCTTTTCAGTCTGAAACCTCCGAACCCCAAACACACACCTAGGAAAATTTGTAGATGGAAAGGATTTAGTTTATTCCCTGCCACAGCTAAACCTGGCTCCCACATCAGGGGAATTGCCCTGACCTTGAGCATCTCCCAGTCACCCTCATTCCTGTGGTGCCTCTTCCAGAGGCTGTGTGGCCATGGAGTTGTTAATTGGGACCTCAAATGAGGAAAAGGCAATCACAGACCCATGGGACAGAACTAATCTGCACGTGTCTCACACCTGTAATTTGGGTTGGAAGGTTGTTTCTAAACAGCTGCCAAAAGTGTTTTGGGGCTGCTTTCCAAAGGGAAACCAAACTGGAGGTGCTTCTGGAATATTTGGTCAAACCAAGGGGCAGGATGATGTGACAAGCAGAACTGGTGTCTTCCTTGCACATCCAGCTGCCTGAGAAATGTTCCCCAGCACTGGAAGTGTCCAAGGCCAGGGCTTGAAACAACCTGGGATGGTGGAAGGTGTCCCTGCCCGTGGCAGGGGGTGGAACTGAGTGGTCTTTGAGGTCTCTTCCAGCCCAAATCATTCCATGATTCTATAATTCTAAATGCAAGATATTTTTAAAATTCTGCACATGTGGGACCCTTGTTTGGTCATAGCAACTGATTTCAGCAAGACATTGAATTATCCTTAAATCCCCTCATTTAACCCTGTAGATTACAGCAAAGATGAAGGAATCAGTTAAATGTGAGCATGCTGTAGAGAAGATGGGTCAGCAGCTGTGTGTTCTTCACTGGTTTTGCTCTTTGGTGCTCTTTAAGTGGGGAACAGGGGTCCCACCAAGAACATCCCGAAATCAAACACTTGTTGAAATCACTGAGAGAAATCCCAAGATGGAATTGATTAGAAAATATTTTTTTCCAGGCTAGAGATCACCAACTGTACTAATCACCTACAGCTGTTGCTGTGGTTTATGGGGAGAAATGGACATTTTTTTTTCAAAGCAGTTCACCTTATTTAAAAGGGACACATATACATTTAATCAAATTAATGCAAGAACATCCCGAAATCAAACACTTGTTGAAATCACTGAGAGAAATCCCAAGATGGAATTGATTAGAAAATATTTTTTTCCAGGCTAGAGATCACCAACTGTACTAATCACCTACAGCTGTTGCTGTGGTTTATGGGGAGAAATGGACATTTTTTTTTCAAAGCAGTTCACCTTATTAAAAGGGACACATACACATTTAATCACATTAATTGTAACCCAAGATACCTATTTTCTCTCTGCTGACCAGAGCAGCCAGGCAAGACACTCAATATCTGCAGTATGGAGACCTAAACTGAATCTTAAAACATTTCCCCAGATGTCTCCAAAGGACTCTGGGATGCCCAGCATAATTATAAAATAAAGTTTGAAGGTTGCAACCCTGTGTTTTTTCAGAAGAGAAGTAGCACTGGGAGAAGCTACAACTGCAATAAAGGATTTGAATTCAGGAATATTTTAAATTCTTGGGTGCCATCCATAAATACAGAGTCTGTCAATTGGAAAACACAACCTCCTCGTTAAATATTCACCAAACACTTAATAGCATCTCCCAGAAAAGGTAAACATGCTGAAAAGGATGCTTTGAGGCTCTGATAGTCCAATGTTTCTCCATTTAATTTAACAGAAAATTATTACAGTGAAGACAACAGGAGCACGTGGGTTGTTGTACTTGCAGTTGTGCTTTCATTTCTTGGCATTGTCCTCCTGGTCGTTATTATTGTGGTTGCTGTGCGCTGCTGCCTGAAGAGGAGAGGTGAGTGAACCTTCACAGCTGGTCTAAACATCAAAAAGTGGCTTTGATTAGACATAACTCTACCTGTGTCAGCTCTGATGCTGCACAAAGACCTGTAAGCAGAAGACTGAGCAGGCAGATCCTGCTCTTAACCATGACCTGTTTAAGATCCTCCTTAATTTCACCGTCATGTTTCTCTCATGAATTTATTCCAATCAGTGTCAGCCCATCGCACTAACTGCCAGGGGGTAATGTTTTTTGGGAGTACATTCACTTCTAAAGACATTTAAGTGTTCTTTATTGAAGAGTATTTTCAGTGCTGTGTGCCTAATTCCAGTTTCCACGTAAGGTGCTCTACAGGGCTGCCCAATTTTTCAAACAGGGTGGAGAGGTGCTCCTGTGGCAGCTGGAGCTCTTAGAGAACTTACAGAGGTTTTAAATTTTAATTTCCTGCACTTTAAACACTTTTTTTTTTTTATTATTTTTTTTCATTTTTAGGGTCTACTTATCAAAATGAAATAAGGTAAGTCAGATATGGAAAACTTTTTGTGGTGTTCGCTGGACTCTCTGAGGCTGCTGCAGGGTGGCAGGAGGGACGTGCCAGTGTCCTTGTGCTGGCATCCATCATCCCAGAACCGCCGGTGCTGCCGGGCTGGGTGAGCCTGTGGGACAGCAGAGGGATGGGGACAGCATCCAGGGAAGGGGACTGCCTTAGGGATGAAAGGCGAGCACCAGGGCTGGCAGCAGGCTGTGAGCTCCCATCCCACCGCGCTGACAACCCCGAAGCGCCGGAGCGGACAAACCCAGCCAGCCCTGTGCAAGGACAAAGCGAATTCCTCGGAGCCGGCTGTGCCCGCAGCTGTCCCGGGGAAGGCAGGGGAGGGTGGCCGGCCACCCGAGCCCGGAGGGCGATTGTCGCCGCCGCCACAGGATGTCACTGCCAGCCCGGCAGCGCGGCTGGCGCCGGGAGCGGCGAGCCCGGAGCGCGGCAGGCGAATTCCACCGGGTAAACGGGTAAAAAAGGGTTCAGAGGGCAGGCTCGGAGCAGATATTAAGAAGAAGAAGAAATTAAATATTATATTTTAATAATGATAAGACGTAATAGATATAATGTATATTATACAATGTATAATTATATATAATATAGAAGATGTAATATAGAACATATAATCATATATAATTTATATATAATAATATATAATAATTATATAATATATAATATAAATGATATTAAAAGATATAAAAATTAATAAAGCTACCCCATGTAATTTTAATTAAAAAATTAATAAAGCTGCTTGGAACAAGATGACCTTTAAGGTTTCTTCCAACCCGAGCTATTCTATAATAAAAAATTAATATAATATATAATTATATTATATGATTATATAATTATATAGAATAAAAAAATTCTAAAAATATTTTATAAAATTGCCCCATGGATGAGTATCAGCACCTCATCCAGTGATTTTCAGACGTGTTTCAGTACAAAGCTGTTGCTCCATTATTGCACTGAGATGGAAAACTTCAGAAATCATTAACTGGTGGCTCTCAGCATTAAGATCCTTTTTATCAGCACCTGTGACAGCCGTGGCAGTGGGGTTATTAATATTATTATTTATATTTAGACAGCATTGTGAATTCATTCCCTGCCTACGCTTGTGGGGTTTTAAGTCCCCTTCCCTTAATGAGTTTGCAGAACGTTCCACCCCGCTGCCTGGCATGCCAGTAATTCCCAGTTTCATTAGCAGCCTCTTGTGGGGAAAGTTTGTGCAGGTCTGTTGACAGATTTCCATTTGTAAAGCACTTTATTGATGGGAAACAAAATAAGGAAATTAGATACCCTCTGTTTTCTCCCAGGGAAATGATGCTTATTATGCTATGCCATACGTGCAAACTTCTGTGTGATTTCTTACTTTATGGGGCTAAATTCATCATTTTGCCAAGTGCAGCTATATAAATAGGGCAGGACTAACTCAGCAGGGATTGCTTGGATTCTGACTTGGTTCAGAATCCCAAAAACTTCCACAAGGATCAACCCTACAAAGGCAAAACCAGTTGAACATGCAGAGAAGGACCTGCCCAGCAGCAGGGTCTGTGTCCTTCCCAGACCCTGCCTTGCTCTTGGGGATCTGCAGTGCTTCTTTCAGACAACCTGAACAGGTCCAGAAAAGGGCAAAACTTTCCTTTCCCTCTGTGTTTTTGCATCTGGTCTGGGCAGAAACAATTCTACCTTCATGGCAGAAGCATGTTTTTAGCTCTCAGTATTACAAAGTTACTATTTCTCCATTAACTTCAGAGATGAGTTGTCTCACTGTGTTCACAATCCTTGCTTATACTTTAAAGTTAAAAAAACTGGGATGAGTTCAGGCTCTGAGGCTCAGTTTGGACTTGGAGATTCAGTGTTGATTTCAAGGTCTGAAAAGCAATGACCCTGAAATTATTAACAATCACAGATTTTTTAGGCTCAGTGTTTTTATCTCGGGGGGAACTTCCCTGCAGTAAAAAGGATGATGCTTGTCCAGATTTGGAAGCTGCATTGCTGTGGTAGCAAAGAAGTAGTGAGACCAAACACACACTGGTTTATTTCCCACCTTTATTTTTAACTTGGCTGGCTATCTTCCTGTGCCTCCCACACACCTTTTCTTTTTTTTTTAAAATTTTTTAATTTTTTTTTGTAGCTGCTTTTTATTTGGCTACTCCACTGAGTTTGTTGGGATCTAAAGCTCAGATAAAAGAGACAGCCCAGTGTCATGTAACATGTGGGGGTGGTAGCCCTAAACAATTGCTTTTGTCTTCTAGCAACCATGGCAGGGCTCTTAGTGGTGTCCAACCTGTTTATCTCCTAAAAAAGCCCCAGAGCTGAGAGCTGACTCACCAGGCTTGTGTGTGCATTAGTAACACTCCTCTGAAGCTCTGGGGGCTGCAAAGTGATTCCTACTAAATAAAAAAGAAGTAGAATTACAGAATCATGGAATCATTGAGGTTGGAAAAGACCTGCAAGGCCACCAAATCCCAGCTGTGGCTGATCCCCACCTTGTCCCCAGCCCAGAGCACTCAGTGCCACATCCAAAGGACACCTGCAGGGATGGGCACTGCAAAGCTCCCTGGGCAGCCCCTGCCAAGGCCTGAGCACCCTTTCCATGGGCAAATTCCTGCTGCTGTCCCAGCTGAGCCTGCCCTGGCCCAGCCTGAGGCCGTTCCCTCTGCTCCTGTCCCTGTTCCCTGGAGCAGAGCCCGACCCCTCACTACAACTTTTGTACAAGGACATGCAGCAGGTTCCACAAACGTCACCAACATCCCTTCCCACCAAAAATTCCTGGTTTTCCTTGGTGGATTTGTGTTTGCCACATCTCAAACCTACGCAGAGGTGGACCTGCAGACAGGTCCATGGTAGGAACAGATCAATAGTAGTATCTCTTCTGGCATCAGAATTTTGGGTGAAAAAGTGCCATTCTCTCCCTGTGCAGCTGTGAGGGCACCGTTCTGCAAATTCAGAGGTTTGTAACTTTAACCAAGGAGTTTCTCTCTGGTGTAAAGTAAATTTTCAGAGTGAAAGATTAACTTCAGAGTGTACTGATGAATCCCTGGCTGTGGGGATGTGAGAGGACATGCTTTGGTATTGCAGCTGGGCACCAAAATGATCAGTGTCATAAGTGACCTGGCTGGTGTTCCATTATTGGGCACCTAAATATCCTCAATTCAGAATCAGAGATCAAAATTAATTTTCTAGAAAACCTACGATCTGGCACAGAGTCCACACTTCTTGAAGGTTGCCTTATTTTCATGGGTTTTCACATTGCAGCTGATGGAAACGTTCCAAACAGAATTCCATGGGCAATACTTCCATGATAATTGCTTGGAATGTTTTACATCTCTTTTTTGGGATGTGAGACATTTACTTCTTTCCCTCTAGTCTGCTACCCAAGAGTTCTCCCACCAGAAAGAACTTCTGATGACACCTTTTTGTTTTCTAGAAAAGTTTCAGCTGAGAAGAAAAAAGATGGTGATTTGGAAAACAGGCAGGGGAGTGGCAGTGAAAATCTGGGATACATTCCAGAGGAACTGTGGAACACAGAGCAAGGCCCAGGTGAGTCTAGGCTGGTGAATCACAGGTTGTCAAATTGCTTCTCAACATGGGCTTTTTGGACAGCAGGTCAGGCAGTTAAAATTGTGAGGTTTCACAATATTTAGTGAAGGACTTGTGCTTTTCCTGGACCTCTCCAGAACATTTTTGATGTTTTAGAGGAAGATCCTCCAAAAATATTGTGGAAACACCCAAGTTCTTTGCAACTGAATTTAGATTTAGTCCTGGGTTTGTTTTTTGAAATGCCTTTGTTCTTCTAATTTTCTTCTGGGGCTCGCTGTGGGAGGACTGGATTTTCATACAAGCAGCAATTTATGCAATATTTTGCAGTTGGTCTGTGAAAACAAAATAAAATCCACCACTGCCAACAAATACAAAAAAAAAAAAAAAATTAAAAAAAGGGAAAGAAAGAGAAGGAAACAATAAAGGCAGTTAGTGAACTATTATTTTACTGATAATGACTAAGTTAGCATTATAAATTCTTGTCCTTAAGCACAAAGACTCTTCAAAAGCAAATGTAAATCTCCACCAAATCGTTACCTGCCACTTGCATTTATAACCACATTATTCTCAAAACATTTAATCAAACACTTAATGGCACAAAACTATTGTGCAGAGTCTGTAACTCAGGCACACATCCTTCCCTCTCTGACAAATAAGTGGTGAAGAAATAAGTACAGAGGAAAGATTTTGAGAGTTTGTAATGTTATAAAATGCAGGAGTTATAAAAAGTAAAAGGAAAATTAAGTGGATCTGGAAAAATGGATTCCACAGATGGAATCTGAACTGGTTTTTTTCATATTTGTTGGTGTTCTGGGTTGACCTTGGCTTGTCACCTCCCTTCTCCACTAACCTGGGTGTCTCCAGGACTGTTTCCTTCACACTTTCTCTCTCCTCTTTCCCAGGTCCTGCTGTGCTGGGTGTTTTTTTACCTTTCCTTAAATAAGTTATGGCAGAGGTGCCACCAATGTCACAGCTCAGGCAGAGGACCCACCTGGAACTGCCTCTGTCTGACACTGAGGCCAGCTTCTGGTGTCACCTCACAGAAATCACCCTGCAAACTCCCCCAGTACAAAAATCTGGCCATGTTAGCCCAAAAAAATTAGCCTTAGTTTTGCTCACAATATTAATAATTAATATTATTAATTAATAATTAATATTATTAATATTAGCCATTGTGGTTCCTGCCATGGTGCACACTGAGTAACTAATCTTTTATATTCTTGTTGCAGGACTTTCCTCTTTCCCCCCAGTGTTTTCCAAGTTTGCTGGCCCTGATGACAATTTGCACATCAGTTCTGTACCAAAGGTAATGCTGATTTCTTGAATATCACAGCCTTTTTTTTTTTCTTCTTCACAGAGTGTGTATTGTGCTAGAGCCAAACATAGATTTTGGGGAGGTAGACAATTAGAAGTCAATTACAGCTGTAACTGAGTAAGTGGAATGTCCTCTCAGCATTCTTGACTGCATTTTCCTTCAGACTTGAAGGAGATGTGGATCTAAGATGGAGGCACTGTGAAGGTGAGGTTTGAGGTTCCTTTGCAGACAAAATCCAGTGCAGAGAGAGTAAATGAATGTGCATTTTCTCTGGATTATTTCTTGACTATATTTTCCAATATTCTAGAAGTTGCTTCCATCAGGAGCTTTACATTGACCTTGAAACCTTTGTTATCTCAGCAGTAAGAGCTGGGAGGGAAGGCAAACCCAACACCCAGTGCCCCCAGAGCTTTGCCCCTTTTCCATGGGGATAAAATGAAAAAAGAAGAGCTCAGTGTTTGCTCCTCCACTGGTTCCATTCTCAGTGGCCTCGTTCTGAAGGCTGGTGCAGCTCTCTCTCAGCTTCCAGCACAAGAGCAATGTGAATCTTAATTTATGCCATATTTTTATAAAATCCACTTAGCACCTCCGGGATGGTTTTTGCCAGTATTCCCTTGAGAAAGTGGCGGTGATGTGGTACTGAGTTCACTCCTCAACACAGTGATAACTCATTTATTTCTGAAGAGCTGCTTCAACATGAACAATGCAGAAATCTGTCTTGGGGATGACACTGCACATAAATCACAGCAGAGTGTGTCAACTTCTTTTGGCACACAATGAAATTTAGGAAGCACTCAATCAACAATTAAAACAATGATCACATAATACCAGTACAAAATAACAGCAATGACACTGATGCATTTGTGCCTGGTAGTTATGATGGTTGACATGAATTACTTGTCAAACAAAATACTGTTAAAGCAAAGCTGAAAAGTCTGCACAAAACAGTGGAGGCATCAGTGTAGATCTATAACCCCAAGCAACACTTTCAGACAGAGTTTGGAATGCTTGTGAACAGCACTATGGGGCTTTTATCAGCTCCTGCATACACAAATGAGGCCATCACAATATACTGAGGAGCCCTGCTCAAACTGAAAAATAGTTTGTCTTCACAAAGCCATTTTTACATTGCTAAATATTCCTCTAACACATGGAAAATGGTTATAAATAATTTTCACTTCTTGATTCTCTCTTGGTGTTTTTCAAGAATGTGTGTACAGCTATTGATCAGGTAGAAGCCACTGTGACAGAGTTTTTATATTGTCCAGGGACAACTGGTTTGAAAATCATAAATATTTCAATTTTATGCTGTGTTCCTGTGATGGATTCAAAGTTTCCCTGGCCACTTGATCTCCTAGGCCACCTAACCCAGGATTTCATGTGGAGGCTGCAGCTTTCATGTCTCAGTTTGAATCAGGACAGTGAACATAAGCTGGGCTTCCAAGCATGTGGCACGTGGTGTCTGCTCTGACAGCCAGGAGATGTTGCTGAGCACCCTGGACACATTTCAGGGCAGGACATTGACTCCAAGAGGCATCTGGATGTGGCACCAGGGGACATGGTTTAGGGGGGATGATGGTGGTGGTGATGGTGGATGATGGGACTGGATGATTTGAAGGTCTCTGTGATGATTCTGGGATTTGGTGGTTCTGGGATCCATCTGGGCATTTCCCGGAGCCTGGGTGCTCATTGATGGTTCATGGGCACTGGTTGGGTGCTGTGGTGGCATTAAGGTATTTAGTGACATCTGAAAGGCATTGAATTTGGATGAAATAACCTTCAGAACCAGCTCCATCCACTGTGAGAACAAGAATGTTGTGAGTGGGGACCATCAGGAATCTGGGTTCACTGTCCTGATTCAAACTGAGACATGAAAGCTGCAGCCTCCACATGAAATCCTGGGTTAGGTGGCCTAGGAGATCAAGTGGCCAGGGAAACTTTGAATCCATCACAGGAACACAGCATAAAATTGAAATATTTATGATTTTCAAACCAGTTGTCCCTGGACAATATAAAAACTCTGTCACAGTGGCTTCTACCTGATCAATAGCTGTACACACATTCTTGAAAAACACCAAGAGAGAATCAAGAAGTGAAAATTATTTATAACCATTTTCCATGTGTTAGAGGAATATTTAGCAATGTAAAAATGGCTTTGTGAAGACAAACTATTTTTCAGTTTGAGCAGGGCTTCTCAATATATTGTAGTGGCCCCATTTGTGTATGCAGGAGCTGATAAAAGGCTGCTAAAGTTTTACCCTAAGTTGTGGATTTGCAGTCACTGATTTAATTTTACCACAATAAATGAAAACAGAGTAAAACATTTCCCAGAGAAAAAGTGTTTTCCTTTTGCATTCACAACTTTCCCTGTTAACTGCATAATACAGATTTTCTCACAAAGGGTGTTCCTGGATATATTCCAATAAAGTTCAACCACTGATGCCAAGATATTGCCTAACAGCCATTGTAGTGCTCTTTCATTATATTTCCTGTCAAGTAGGTGAAATCAGATGTTCACTCATTTAGCTGTTTGCTGGCTAGTGCTGAATCAGACAATTTGTTCAGAAACCACCTGCCTTCCTGCCACCTTCCAAGCACAGAAAGTTGTGATTCTCAGTTGGCTTTCCCTGCCTGAGCACTGGAAACATTCCCAAAGACTTTTCATCTTTGTTCTCCGGGACCTTTTAGTGAGAAATAGAGGGTTAAAAAAGCCAAAAAACAACAGGAGGAAGAAAAGTTATCCTGAGAATTTTTTCCATAGTGAAGGAGGTCAGGGAGGGGTGGACTCCAATAAATTACTTCTCTCTCCCTGGGTAATCAGGAAAAATGAGCAAAAGTCCTTGCAGTGCTTCTTTAGAGGTCAAGAAGAAGGAAGGGAAATCCAAAGCCTCCCTGAGCAGCAGGAATTCCATCTACTGATGGAAAAAATTGCAGACTGAAGATGTAAAACCTTATCTATTCCCGTTTCTCTCAGGGAAAGGGCTTCAAATTTGATCCCTTTTGTTCCATATGTAAAAAAGTTACAATTTTAAATTATTTGGGAGATTGAAGGAGACTTCATATCACGGGTTTTGCTTCCTCAGGATTTGTTACCCATAGACCCAGCTGAGTACAAACCTGAAATCCCTGGTGTGTGTCGTAAAGGGTGACAACAGAAAAACATTGAGCTCAGCTTTTGGCCATTCAGACTCTTTGAATCAGAAACTAATGCAAAGCGTCCACAGAAGATAAATGCTGCCCAGTAATTGCACTGATCAATTCACAACCTGAACAAAAGGTTTGGCAAAGAACAAGGGAGGAAAATCAAAGGTGTGTGAGACGTTTAAAAAATGATGAGTAACGAAGCAAATTATTGAGCTGAGGGAAAAATGACCAGCCACTGGAAGAGGAAGCCAGAAGCATCAGTCAGAGGTGCTGGAAGGTCTTCACTGTGATGATATTAACTGAGAAAAGGTCAAACTGAGAGCAGAGGTGCAGGCTTCTGTTTAATTGCAAATGTAGTTCCTGTCGGGGATGGGCGAGTGTGATCCTTGTTCCCAGCATCAGGGCTGAGCTGCCAGAAAAATCAGTTTTAGGGAGCAGCATCCCACTCAGTCCCTGACCCACAGTGCTCCTTCCAAAACCCAAGAGCAGTGAGGGGGATCCCCTGCCTGGGATTTTGCAGATTTTGGGGCAGTGCCACTTCCAAGGAACTCTGTTTTCCAAGTTCCCACAGAAGGAGCTCTGAGCAACTTCCAGGATTGGGCAGTCTCCTAGAAGAGCTTCATAATGAGCTCATTTAATATGCCATAAAGGTGTCTGTGATAAATCAGGAGCCCCTTTCCATGAGGGAGTGAATTCTCATTTCCAATGGGCCAGACTCATCCCTGCTGTGACTTCAGCACAGCCCCAGGAAGCTTCCACAGCCTCACTCCTCCTTCCCAGTCCAGAGTGAGTCATGGCTCCCTTAATGGGGAAGGATCTGTTTTTCTTCTTAACTACTCCAAATGACACTCTATAAACTGGAAATATTATTTAGCTGTGCTTGTGGTTTTATACTGAGAAGGAAATGAATGATGAATTGCAGCTCCATTTATTGCCCCATATAGAACTGCTCCGACTCTGAGGGTTGTTGGAAAGAAAAATTAAGCTATCAAAATTGAATTAAAAGGTCAATAAATCGAAAAATAAATCGATGAAAGCAAACAATTTTGCCCCTGCTGATGAAATGGGCTGCAGATATGTCATGTTATGATATTCATTGGTTAGCATATCTTGATTAAGAGAGCAATAAATATTGATGATACAGATAAAGAAATGGCAGCTGCAGTTTACAGATTTTTTTTCCCAAATGTCTGTGGGAGAAGGGGAGGAGTTAAGGCATATGGGTGGGATCAACCCATGAAGAAACAAGGGGGACTTTCCAGGCTATATTGGTGTGCAGGGAAATGTGCTGAGTGTTCAAAAAGTTGACAGGATGGCACTGGTTTGTTACTTGAAGTAATAGTGTATCTGGTTTATTTTGTGGGTATCCACAATTTATAGGAGTGGGTGTTTTCATGTAAAAGAAGTGAATTTGGAATCAAAATTGAAAACTAAGGGCAGGGGGAGAAATAACCTTCAGAACCAGAAAGCTGTGGCTTTGTCCCCCTGATTGTTTGTTCTGTTTTGTTAGCCCAGTGTGTGATGCATGCAGACACATTTGGGAGCACTCCTACCACATTAATGTCAGCACTTTGTTCTTGTGCAGTTGGACTTGAATATTTTTTGGCTGGCTAATGGCAAGCCTGCAGTTTGTCACACACTTCCACAGCATCGGTGTCTGAGGAGCTGCCATCCTTCACCTCAGTGCTGAGATCAGTCCTGTTCCACAGGGCCAGACGTGTGCTCATCATTCACATCATATCACACAGGCTGCAGAACTGACTGAAACGTGCTTGTAAGGGCAGAAATCCTTCTTTCATTGACTGAAGATCAGTATTCAAAACACCATGGAAGGATTCACCCCTGAAAGCAGCTGATACACGCTCAGTTTACCTTCTGATTCATCCATGTCTTGCTAGCTCCCTTTTTGTCTGGCTGAAGAGCTGGAAGAGATGAAAAGATCTGTGCTGCATCTGTTTGCCCAAGCAAACCAACAAACTATGTGAAGCTTTTCCCAGTGTTATAATCCCTTTACAGTAATCCCTGTGAAAAGGCACCCAAGGCAGATGATAAATCAACAGGCAGGCTTTGAAGCATGTGACTGTCAGATATCCATGGTTAACTGGATGCCAAGCTGACAGTACAAAGAGATTTAAAACTATGTAAAAGAAATGCTGATGTTAGCACATCCTTCCTGATGGGGGGGACCACCTCAGAAACTCACTCCTATGATGTTGTGCTGTGCAGCAAGCCACTGGAGATGGGTTTTTTCCTTTCAATCTGTAGAGTATAATGAGTTATGAAGCCCTTTTTCCTCAGACTAGGACTGGCAGGACTAGTAAAGCACTGAAATAATCCAAAGAGGAAAGAACTTTGAAATCAAAACCAAGCAGGGGCTGCAGCAGCTCCAGCAGATCAGGGTATAAATAGGAAGTGCTTGTTGTGGTCCTGCTCCTCTGCATTATTATTTGTAATGTGTTGTATGAGATCTTCCATTGCATTCAGAAAATGAGTTTTAGGTTGCTGACCAGCAGCCAGCAGCCTCTGTTTCAGTGAAGTGCAACCTCAGGAAGGCTTTGCTGCTTCAGAGAAAGCTTCCCAGAAAATGGGCCAGCACACAGCATGAGCTGATTGAAATTCATGAAATTATTCATTAATTGATACCGGAGCACAATAAGCATCAAGTAGTAGTAACTCTAAAGCAAATAACTCTGAGAGATGCAGCAGGGCAAGGGTGAACCCTTGTCAGCCCCACCCTGGGAGCAAACTCTGCTCAGGCCCTGCTTTGGTGGTGAGAAGTGCCATGACAGACAGGGCTGGATGCCTCATTCCTGAAGATGGGATTTTTAAAGAAAAATAGTCCTGGTGGGGTTATCCTTTCCCCAGTGCTCTCACAGGGCTGCCTGGATCCAGGTGCTGCTTGTTCTCTGGCTCCCTGCTGTTCAGGGTCATCTACCTCCCTGTGCTGGGACAGGGCTGGGGCAGCTCTCAGGTGGGCTCTCACCTGTGGGGGCACAGGGACAGAATCCCCCCTAAATCTCCTGTAGCATTGCCCCCAAATTGCCCCAAAACTGTCTCTTTCCACAACACTGCTGGCTGAATTTTCTGATTTATATCTTTTTTCCTTTAGCAAATCTGATGCAATAGAATATTTTTCTGCAGCAAGTTTTGGGAAATATTCTCACTTCAGTATTTTGCTAAACATGGGATATAAAACATGACCTGTTTCAGGGAATTTCAGAGACAGGGTGTTCTTGGGCCCCCTCTGAAACCTTCTGGTTACTCACTATGCTACTGGTTCTGTATCCTTTATTCTCACAGACCACAATATGTGGGAATATTTCCCTTCCACAAATATAAAACTTGCCTTTGTCATTTTTTCAGATTTTTTTCCCCCCATTCTATTTGAAAATTTGTTATTTTGGTGGGAGAGGTAATAGAGAGCTCCTCTGCTTAACACCACTGAGGTCTTTGGGCAAGAAATCAAAATGCAGCAGAGGGATCTTGGAAAAGGTCCTTGAACAGAGGCAGGCAATGCTGTCACTTCCCAAAGTACCTCTCCTCTCTGCAAAAATAAACAGTAAAGAAGGGTAAATTTAGAAAACAGCAGCATGTTCTAGCAACAAGAAGGGATGGGAGGGTGGAGAAAGAGAGTTGTGTTTAAAACAGAAGGCAGCTGTCTCGTGAATGCTTCTAGGATAGTTAAATTTATCCCACAGCAGTGCTGGGGCTCATTAAATACCAGAGCCATGTTGTCCACATTTGTTATCTAACATTTGCCTCCATCTGTTATTCAATAATGTATATGTACCAAATGCATTATTGAAGATGTTTAATACTGGAAGAATACCAGAGCAATACAGACTGTACATGATTAATGCTCCAGAACAAGCCTCAGGAAAATTGGTCAATAGTTAGAGAAACAAATTTGCCTTGATGAAACATTTCACTGAGAAAAACAGTGAAATTTCCATTAATTTCCAAGGAGTTGAGACCAGGTGAGGATTTACAAGGAGGAGGCGTTGATACTACATTTAAAAATCCCCAGGTTTTTGTTACTCAGATGCATTTGAGAGCGAATTTTTCCTTGTCTTTTCCTCTGCAGTGATGTTTTGTAAAAGCACAGGAGTAATTAGGACTGGAGATGCACCTGCACTTGTTTCAGATGAGGAGGAGCTTTCCAAGGCTGCTGAGCTTTTGCCCTGCTCTGATCCCACCGGGGGCAGTGTGAGAACAGGCTGCAGCCAGTGGTAGTGGAATCCTGGCAGTCTTGGGAAGTGTAAAAAAACCCTGGCTTGGATAAACACCGAGATGCTGAGAGCAATCTTCCAGCCACATGAAACGCTGCTGTGCTGTGATTTCTAATGGATTTGGAAAGCAAATATTCAGATTTTTTTTACAGCTTAACAGGTTCCTTTAAGAGAACCAGAGGAGAAACACCCAACAGAGGACACAGCCTCAGCTACTTCAGGGAAGGTATAGGTTGGATATTAGGAAAAAAAATTTCACCAAAAGAATAACAAAGTACTGGAATGCTCTTCCCAGGGAGGTGGTGGAATCACCATCTCTGGATGTGTTTAAAAACAGGCTGGACATTGCACTTGGTGCTGTAGTCTGGACTCTGAGTTGAGGTGTTAGGGCACAGGTTGGACTCGATGATTAGAGGCCTCTTCCACCCTCGTTATTCTGTGATGCTGTGATCACCTTTTGCTTAAGAGCACACACAGACTGCAGAGGCCACAAGAAGTTCTCAGGCAGCGTAAAACCAGCTCGTGAATTCCCAGAAGTGTTGCATGTGAAGCTTTTGTTTCGTTCTGCTTCTCGTGCTTTCCTTTGTGTTTGGATTTTGAGTGGGCTGCTGGTGATAGGTTTCGTTTTGCTGTCGTGCTCTGGGGTGAGGGGTGGGCAGGTAACCTCCTGAGACCCACTGTGGGACTGCTTTTCTGGGATCTCTTTTAGTTCTCTCACTGGTTTTGCTCTCCCCTAGGTGCGACCTCAAAGGCGTCCTGATTATCTGATCAGCCCAAAGAAAATCAGGAATGTGACACTCGTGTAGGATGTACTTCTCCAAGAAGTTGCTTTTTTACATGTTTGGATGCCTTCATGCAATGGAAAAAAAGTTAAAACCAGTTCTCTCAGTTTAACTTATAAGTTATTTTCTTTCTTTTTTTTTTTTTTTTCCTCATGCAATGAAATAAAATTGCAACCTTTATAATGCAGCACGTGATATCACAGCAAAATAATGGACAAAAATGACATCAGTAGACTGCCCTAATTTCCAAGACAATGAGTTTGATGGGACTGTGGAAGAAAAATCCACATTTTGGGTCCCAAGGAAATCAGCAAAACTGTCAGACAGAAATGTTATGTTACAGCAAGATCAAGGACTGGAAATGCAAGATATTTATTATTTCAGAAAAACTGGTGAATAATAATAATGGTTAATACAATATCTATGCTTTAAAACACATTTTATGTACAGCTGATAATCTTGAGCTTTCAGATCAACAACATTTTTCCATTCCTATTCTGTAATAAAATCAAGGGAAGTTTTCATGGGGGCTGCTTCAAAATTTCTAACAAAACTATCTTTGGATCAGAAATGACATTTCTCCATTTCAATACATTCTTTTATAAGAAGTATTTGCCTTAAAATTCCATTTCAAAATAAAACCCAATCACCCGTGTGCCAAAAAAATCCTTTTTTAAGAAAATTGAAATTCAAATATCTTAAGTTGAAAAATGTAGATTTGAAACTCTTGACTTTGAAGAGTTGTTGCTTGAATGTTTTATGTCTCTGTTCTGCTTATGGGATGGGTTGTGTCACTGCAATGGTGGCTTCTGGAATTCAGTTTGAACAGTGTTTTTTCCTCAGGGATACAGTTGATAATGACCATGGGAAATGCACTTTAACAAAGCAGCTTCTCAGCAGAGCAGATCCAGCACATGGACTGTATCTAAAATTAATTAAATATTTTGTCTGAAATGTTCTATTTCGCAATAAAAAAGTTCAAGCTTATTATTTTATATTTTTCTTTTACAAAATGGCAAACTTCTTTCAGAAAAACAAGATATTTTCAGTGTACTCTTCTTCCTTCCCACTCAAAGAATTCTGAATTATTCAGTGTGTCTCACGTTAATCTTTGGTACAAACATGCTCTTGAAAGAAGCCCTTGCTTCAAACCCTTCCAGTGACACTCTGTGCAACAAAACTGGGGAATTTGAAACCTGAACTCAGGAAGGAGAAGTTGTTTTTCACGTTTAGCATTTGGTATCTCCTTAACTCGTGCCAGATTTTGTGTGCTGGTGGCATTTTCAGCCAGTCTGTCTGAACAAGTGCAAGGTCTGCCATGTGCTGTTTGTACACAAAGCTGTTTCAAACTCTGACCATCTACTGCCTTTCTATCTTGTTTGCCTAAGGAGGGGCTTGGAAATGAATTTTATAATGTTACACAGACAAAAATTTAAGCAATTTACATTGTGGCATATTGACATTTTCCTTGAAAATATCCGTATTTTGAATTAACCACTCATGCTGAAAAACATCTACCTTATTCTGATACAAGGATTTCTATTGCTGACATTTCCTTGTTGCCACTGTAGCTGAAAGCAGCCTAAACACAACCAAAAATCCACTTTATTAGAGGAATGTCTGCTGCATGAGAGAGGGGAGCCCAGAGTAACACCAGCCTGGGACTTGAGGGGGTAAAAACCATGGAGCTTTGGCTTTCTGTTCATGTGCATTGTCAACAAGGCCTGCTGGTTGCCAGAAAAGTAAAAATAATCTCTGAACTCTGTGGAGTTTCCCAGTAGAAAGTGTTGATTCTTTGGGATGTATTTTGCAAAGGGTTCACGCTGTACTCCTTTGTTTTTCTCCAGGCCCTTATTTTCAAGTGTAGCTTTGGTATTTTTTGGTGTCATGGCAAAGCAGCCAAACTTGGACTGAAGAAAACCTTTTCTCCACCTAATCTGAATCCTTCCACATTAATCAAACACATTTCTGTGTTGATGCCGTGGGCCAGAGGACACAAAATGTGTCAGCAGCAAGGAGATTTCTGTGCTGGGGAGTCCCCACTGAGATTCCCAGGCTGTGCTTCCAGGTGCTCAAGGCTCTGCAGAGGACACCAGCAGTGCTCCCAAAATTGGTTTGCAGGCTGTGGCTGGGCCGAAGGGCTCCCTGGCACTCCTGATGAGTGAACAGGCTGAGAAGAGAAGGTTGTGATGCCTTGTGCAGGCTGCCCCAGAGCAGAACTAAAGAATAAAGCAGGGATTTATGAAAAGGCCTCCATGGATGCACCTTGGGCAGCACAAGAGCCCAGCCAGGGCTGCACCCAAGATGAACCCAAATGGTCCCAAAATGCACGAGTGCTCACGGGGTCTCTCCCTGGGATCAGCTCTGCTCCATGTGCACATTGCAGTTCAGTGTCCAATTCCAGCTCAGCCCCTGCACTCCCATCCTGCTTGTTTTTCTCTCTCCAGCCCACGGGGTTTGTGCTCTTGGGCTGAGATTTGGATCATTTGTCCTTGGTGCCCAGCTGGAGCAGGAATTGTTTTGTCTCCCTGCTCTGTGCACAGAGCTCACCATCCCATAATATGAAGCCCAGCCCCACACACTGAAGCAGCACAGAACCTGAAAAACATAAAAGCTCAAACCTGAGGCATCAGTTGGAGACTTCACAGCAGCCTTCCAGTACCTGAAGAGGGGCTCCAAGGGGTCTGGAAGGGATGCTTCATCAGGAATTACAGTGAGAGGACAAGGAGGAATGGCTTCAAACTGACAGAGAGCAGGGTTGGATGGGATATCGGGAAGCAGTTGTTCCCTGGGAGGATGGGGAGGCACTTGGAACTGGTTTCCCAGAGCAGCTGTGGCTGCCCCTGGATCCCTAGAAGTGTCCCAGGCCAGCTTGGAGCAGCCTGGCACAGTGGAAGGTGTCCCCGCCCGTGCTAGGGGGTGGCACTGAATGATTTTTAAAGTCCCTTCCAACCCAAACTATTTTGGGACTCTTAGTGAGGCCCCAAAGCTGGGAACCACGTGGGAGCCCCTTCCTTGCTGCCAGCTCCAAGCTGCCTCAGTCAGACATCAGGGACAGCCCAGACAGGTCACCCTCCAGCTGTGCATCCTGCCTGGCAGCTGGAAAAGTGCTCCAAGGTGCCACACTCTCCTCAGGAACCACCAGAAAAATGCCCCTGGACATCCCACAGCAGCAGGAGGAATTAACAGCCCCTGCCTGCACCTCTCACCCACTCAAGCAAACAAAGCTTTTTGCACAAACAGGTACCACAGCCATGGAAACGTGCACATTAACCAGAGGCTGGAGCTCTTTTCCCTCCCTGCCAGCTCAAGGAATGCACCCACACAACTCTGGAACACTCCTAAGAGCGCCAGCAAACAAAGCTTTTTGCACAAACAGGTACCACAGCCATGGAAACGTGCACATTAACCAGAGGCTGGAGCTCTTTTCCCTCCCTGCCAGCTCAAGGAATGCATCCCACATAGCTCTGGAACACTCCTAAGAGCGCTGGCACGAGGTTAAAAAATTCTCATTGTGTCCTTGGGATTTATGGTTGGGGGCATTTATTTCCTTCCAGATTTGTTTGTTTGGGCATGTTGTACAGCCTGTATATCATCTCCAGTACTAGCTGTTACTTATGTTTGCAAATAGAGCTCCACAAATAACAATACATAAAATACAGAGACAATTTTCAGCTCACAGGGAATATAAAATATACAGGCACTTTCAGAAGGCACACTAGACTAAAAATATTGAATTTCAGGCACTTTATGGAGACACCAATCTTTTGTATGCATGCATATTGATTTATAATTATGACTTGAGGGACATTTTAGTAATCTAGAAGTATCCAGCTTTTTACAGCTCACAGACTGTGCACAGTTTGATAATATAAAACCCTTCCATGTTTCCTTGCAAAATCTTCTCATTTGAATTCTGTGCTTGTATATTCAGGGAAAAAAATGCACTGAAGATAAACAGTATTTCATGCCACAGTAAGGTTTCCTAAACTTGTCTCACCAGTTTAATATTTCACAGAAAATTCAGGCTACCTTTAATACAAAACCACTTAAAAATACCACTTGGCTTCATGGGGAGGTTTCTTGTTTCAACAGAATGCACCTCAGGTTTGTGTGGGCTGAGTGGAATCAACACATGAACTCTTACTGAAGAGTACTCACAATATTGACTGAACATTTGGTTTCTTCCTGATCTGATTGAACAGAGCCTCTATTTTCAATATTTATTTGGTAGGATGTACAATATATGGTGCTGCTAACCTAAAATGCAGCATTTTTGAGGATTTGGTCCTCCCAGTGACATAGATGGGAATAGCTCTTTGGTTGCAGGGCTCACCATCCCTTTCCTCAAAAGGATCCTGCATGAGGCAGGAAAAACACAGCTTCCTATCAAATTCCCCAGCAGAAACTCATGGAAAACTGGAATATGGTCTCCTTAAAGTGTCAGAGATATCTCATTTTCCCATCCCTCACTCTCTACCCAAGCAGATCTTCTCCATGCAACGTGGGGAAATGAGGCACATCCCCAACTCTCCCTCTCTCTGAGTTTCTTTAAATCCCACACTCACATTCCCAACAACACCACAAATTAATCCAGTGGCATCCTGGTAACTGTGTAAGTAACATTAAGCAAGCAGGATAGACCAAAGTGGGCTCATATTCTGAAGCTATAACAAAACCCAGCCAACCTCAGCTGCCAGGGGGAGAGCACAGCTCCCCAAACACCTTTGGCATCTCAGTACTTTTTTCCCCAACAGCCTCCAAAACCCCTCCTAAAGATGAGGCTGAGCATTGAAATTCATAAAGCCACTTGATCTGGAGGAGCGTGCACTCGGCTGATGTGACTTTTATGATTACTCTCCTCCCACTCACCACGATTGACTCTTGTTCCCCAGGCTATAAACTACCTGCCTCTTCCTCCCCCCAGGTGACAAGCAGCTTCATTTAACTTCAACTTTCTCTGTCTCTCATTTTCCGCCCTCTTCCCCATCCTTTCTTCTCTGCAGCTCCCAAATACATTTCCTTTAAACAAAGGCCTAATTGATACATACCTAATTAACATCTGAGCGTTTGTTCTCAGCTTGTATTTAGCTCTGAAAATTGATGCTTCTATTTCAGACCTGAAAAAGGGCTTGCGTGCCTGAAAGTTTGCCTGATATTTCCAGCAATACCAGTGGATCCAATAAAACACACGCTGGTGGCTGTATATTCCCATTTTCCCATCTACCAGGATTCAGGAGGACACTGTGCCCACCTCGGCTGACCTTCCTGAACTGCTGGTGGGGAAAAAAAAGGAAAAGAGCCAAACCAGGTCTGCATTAATATGTCTGCACCAAACCTGCTCAGCCAGCAGGAAAGTTCTCCATGTTGTGGGGAAGGTGGAATTTGACAGGAATGTTCTACCTTGCTGCAGTTTGGAGCTCTGTGTGAGATTTCTGCCCTTCTGAGTTCAGTTTTCTCTTACCCATCCTCACCCTGCTCTCTGTTCTTTGGGAGGTGCAGGTTGGTACCAACTCCTTCCCATTATCCTGGAAATAATGGGAATAATCCCATGGATTATTTGTGCTAGATTAGCA